AGGCAACAGAATGTGAAATCCTTGTACCTTGTGTCTTATACCAGCACCCACAAGAAACTACTTGTCAAAGGAGGTGCAGAGCCACCCAATGGGTAGGAGTGGCGTCTAGCCAGCTTCCATCCCTGGTCACGCCAGTGGACTCATGAACAGAGTAGCTGTGGTAGCAGAGATGAAGACTCTGACAGGGGTCTCCACTCACCAGGCCCACCTTAGTGGCTACTGCTAACTGACCAATTAGCCTCTGAAGTTGAAGGTGAGCCCTAAACATGTTATCATCCCCCCAGAAGACCAACCAGCCACTTGGCAGAAAGTGATTCCATTGAACTCCTTCCACTTGAAAAGGAGCAGAGATTCACCTCTACTGGGATTGATTCCAAGAATAGATTCTCCTTCTCTGCTGGCAGCATCTTGGCCAGCAATGCTAACCAAAGGCTAAGAGTATCTCATGTATCATTATTTAAAAAAAATTCCACGGAACATCACCTTAGACCAGTGTCTGCCAAATTGTTTTTCATTACCCAATGGAGCCTTTTTAGAGAATTTTTTCCCAATGCCACCCCCAAGAAATTTTAATACCATACTTACACTGTATCTCTGTATATGCACCATGTGTGTATCTATGCTTTAGACACAAGAAGAGTAAGATTTGTTTTGCCCACCAAGAACCAATTTTCACCCCACTGTGAGCAAGACTGTCCCCACTGAGAATGTACGCGTTACACCAAGAGTTGCACTTTACAGTGAAGTTGGTACAACCATGGGCAAGTGTCCATGGGCTCTACCTTGTATATATACTATATACCACATTCACCTAGAAGCTGCTGTCCTGAGAGAATGTCAGAATGGTCTTGTAAAGGTGTGGCAGCTTAAGAATACCTTGCAGGGTTTGGGGTGCTGGTCCTAAAGATGAAGTCTTATGTGGTACTTCTATGGCCACAGTATGGTACTGTATGTTGACTGCAATAGGTAGAAAACACAGGTCTGGGAGCAAAGAGATAAGAAGAGTGGCCTCTGTCACCATAGATCACATTGACCCATTTGGGAAACTGGTGTTTCTCATCTCTTCAACTTTAGTCTCTGCTAGACTAGAGCACCTGGCTCTCTGTGGTTGCCAGGAGATGCATCAACCAGGAGACACAGAGAGGTTTCCACTGAAACTGTGACTGATGCCTAGTCATGCCAATAGACCAGCAAGAAAGGAGCAACTGTCCCAGCAGGAGTAGGCAGGTGATTATCATGAGGAAAGTGGGACAGGGAGGAATATATCTAGAACCCAGGAGTTTCACTGGGGTACCTCTGAGTGTTGCCATGCCTGGTAACAAATATCCTTGACAATTTCAGCAAACACGGTCTGACAAGAGCCTGATAATCAGGGGCTAAGGGATGAGGGTTTGGGTCATCTCACCAGTCAAGCAACCTAGACAAGTAGTAGACTTGCCAAGTGTGAAGGGAATCTAGAATGTGTGGTATTAATTGGCTAAGGCTGCTATGTCAAAATACCACAGACTGAATGGGTTAAATACAAATTCATTTTCTTGTTCTAGAAGCTGGCAGTCCAAGATGAAGGTACTGGTTGGTTTCCTCTGAGGCCTCTCTCCTTGGCTTGCAGATGGAAAGCTTTCTGGTTGTCTTTCACAAGGTCATCCCTTTGTGCACACTCACTGTTGGTGTCTCTCTTTCTCTTCTTACACAGTCAGACTGGATTAGGGCCCCACCCCAGAGATCTCATTTCAATTTAACCACCTCATTCAAGGCCTCATCTCCAAACACAGCCACATTCTGAGGTATGAAGGGTTGGGACTTCAACATGTCAATTTGAAGAGAGCTGTAGGCAGAGTACAATTAACTCTATAACAAGCTGGTAGAGGAAGGAGACGATGAATATCAGTTATAGACTCAGGACCATCTAGGAAGGAACTACAGCGTGGCATACTAAACCTCCTCGTCTGTGTGTGTGTGTGTGTGTGTGTGTGTGTGTGTGTGTGTTCGCGCGCGCGCGAACTTGATGAATTAATGGCAGGGTGGAGTAAAACTCATGCAGGCACAACTGGATCTGAGCCAGGCAGAGGTCAGCCACTGTCAGGACACCACATCCTTTCAGTATTTGCCATTTCCTTAAACATCAGCCCATTTCCAACTGCCAGGAACTGCCCCTCCCAAGGACTCTCTGGGCAATCCCAATCCAGCCCACTCTGCTGGCATTTCTGCATTTCTGGCAGGTCAGAAAGGCCAGGGAATTAATGCCTGCTGGGGGTGGCCCCCCACCAGTGACTGAAGGTAGCTGGGGAATGAACATCCCAGCTCCCTCCCCACCAGTGAACCATCTGTGAGATATGTGTCCCACACTGTACCCCGGGAGTCCCCAGACTGAAGCTCCAATGCCTGCAGCGCTGACTGCCCTGATAATGCATGCTCTTCTGCTTCCCTTCCCTTCCCTCCTTCATCCATCTCCTTTACCTCCCCACCCCATACTGGTGCTTTCTGGGATTATCCCCCATAAAAAGGACCCACACTCAAATCCTTATCTCAGGGACTGCTTCCAGTGGAACTCAAATCAAGATACCTATAGTCTTGGGGTGCCTGGGTGTCCCAGTCGGTTAGAGGTCTGCCTTGGGCTCAGGTCATCATCCCAGGGTCCCGGGACCAAGCCCCAGTCAGGCTCCCTGCTTAACAGGAAGCCTGGTTCTCCCTCTGCCCCTCCCGCCACCTCATTCTCTCTCTCTCTCTCTCTCTCTCTCTCTCTCTCTGTCTCGCTCTCACTCTCAATCTCTCTCTCAAATAAATAAATGAAATCTTTTAAGAAAAGACACCTACTGGGATGCCTGGGTGGCTCAGTGGTTGAGTGTCTGCCTTTGGCTCAGGTCGTGATCCTAGGGTCCTGGGATGGAGTTCCACATCAGGCTCCCTGCAGGAAGCCTGCTTCTCCCTCTGCCTGTGTGTGTCTGCCTCTCTGTGTGTGTCTGTGTGTTTCGTGAATAAATAAACAAAATCGTAAAAAAAAAAAAAAGATACCTACAGTCTTCAGGGTAGCTCATATTCACTAAATTTAATGTGTATGTTTATTTGACTGGCTTCGTTCCCTTTACACTCCCATTTTCTTTCTCAGCTGGTTGTTTTCCCAGGCATGCTGTCTTCTAGCCACTAATTCTTTCATACTTACTACCCTGTGTCAAGTGTTGGGAATACAGCAGGAAAAACTGACAGAGAGGGACCTACTGTCATTAAGGTTACTATCTAGGAGGGAAGGCAGACTTTGAACAATTAATGAATGTCAAGAGTGAATCATGCAATATCATGGAAAATATGAGAGAGGAGAAGAACACAGCAGTGGGATCCAATCTAGCTCAAATGTGAAGACAGTGCCTCCCCAAGGAAATGACTTTGCCCTGATACCTGAAGGAAGGATTGGGAGAAGCGGTGTGTCACCTCCCCTACCAACCACCTGCACTTCACACAGCCTTCGAACAGAGGATGTAGTTAACACAAAAATGCAAAATGAATCCCAAATCACCAAGAACCTTTATTTTACTTCATATCAAACTGAAAAAGCAATAAAATAAAAATATTTTCAATTCATAAAACTTTGACATCAATGGCACTGACCAATAGAAAGAAAAGTGAAATCCCTGAGGAACTGCCAACAATAAATAAAACATTTAAAAATATAATGTTCTGAGTTCAAAGGAAAATTTCCTGAGTCTGCTCAATTTGGGGAAGTCAATGGCCCTTTGCAAACTTCAGTTTCTCAAAAGGATATTCATTTGATGCAAGTTTCCTGTCATGAGAAGAAGCTGCCACTTTGAGTAACACCTTACATTAAATAGGGGAAAATAATCAATCTTGTTTCAATAAATTTATGCATAGTTCTGAAAAATCTATTGCACAGGCAAGAGAAGAAAACCTGTGCTCTTTCTGAAAACAGAACTTTACAACATACCAAATAAGTACCAGTGCTAATTTAATTTGGTATCAACTGCACTGTACTGTTTTCTCATGGTGTATGCATATTATGCAAAAGGGATGCAATCCCCCTGCTGTTTGTGGGCACCAAAAGAAAGACCTAAATACCCCTGAAAGGTGAAGATCGACACTTTAAAAAATTCCAGCATTTAGCAAGGGAAAGATTCTCTGTGAAGACCCAGGATTGAGGACTCCTGGCTTGGGAGCTTTAGACTTCACTTTAGGAACGGAGTCAAAATATCCTGTTGCACTGATTCTAGGATGTACCTTTTTTTTTTTTTTTCACACTTTAACAAATCAAATTCAAATAGGCTTGGCCATTAACTGTCACAAGTTAATGGTCCACTCCCCCACCTAACTCAGTGGTCTATAAAATAATGGCATGCTTTACAATCACTGGCTTCCTAGATTAAGTTAAATATGGTGTCCTATCCTTCAGTACACACAGTGAGTCATTTAAAAATAAATCTGACATTTAAGCCCTAGTAATTTTCCCAGTTGAAAAGACACTGGCAATAACATTTGACATCTGAAATTTCAACATGAATACCAGAGCCACGGGAAAGATTGGTAAGAATGGTGATGTGGAATGAGCTTACACTCCAGTTTTGGTTCTATCCCTAATCAGTTAGGAAATGGATTTCACACTTCAGGGCCTCATTTCCTCAACTGTAAGATGAGAACATATAATCAGATGGCCTCTAAGTCCCTCCAGCCAAAAAGGAAGGTGATTTAAAATTGTGTACCACTGAGAGAATGTGTGCTGTTGAGAACATTCTATAGCCACGCTGCCCCCAAAGCCCAAGATGCTCCTATAGGTTGATGGTTCAGACCCCTCTGCAACCACCTCCTTCCCCCAAGAAGAGTCAAGGCTCTTCCCAGAGACTTTCCCAGATCAAGGAGAGAACACAATTCATTCACAGCGCTGGTAGCTGACTGGAAAAGGATACTTTTTCAGTCTGGGGCAATGTGTAAACTTTTTTTTTTTTAAATTTCAGAACTTGACTAACCTCAGTTGGTCTAAATGTCTACAATCAATATAAAATACCAACAAATTACAGCAAGGTTTAATTTCAAAGTTTCATGACTGACATAGCTTGGCTACAGATTCTACCGCTCTGAGTGCCTCCTCCCATGCCATAGAAGCACCAGCCGGAAAAAGGGTTGTTTTCTGAAAGAGAATAACAGAGAAATTTCATTTAAATGAATCATTCACATCAGCTCCTCACTCCCACCTTGGTATATTATTCACCAAGAATAAGTATGCTTGGCCAAAGAAAGCAAATGACAAAGAATATGTATTAAAAGTGATGAAAAATGGAGGTGCCTGGGTGGTTCATTCGGTTAAGCATCTGCCTCTTGGTTTTGGCTCAGGTCATGATCTCATGGTCGTGAGATGGAGCCCCAGGTTGGGCTCCATGTTCAGCGGAGGGTCTCTTGGAGATTCTCTCCCCCTCCTTCCACAACTTTCCCCGCGCTCATGAGAGCACATGCTCACATGCTCTTTCTTAAACAAATGAATTTTTTTAAGTCATGAAAAATGGATTATGATGACAACAATATTGCTTTCTGGAAAATAATACACATATTTATATTTTTAATACACAGAGTTATAATCTATCTTTACCTAAACATGTTAGAACTAAAAATAGTTACAGCAGCTAATACCAATGATGCCAAACAAATCATAAATTCCTACACCTTCCTATTTCATTTCCAAGGGCTCAAACTATTTTAAGTGTGGTAAGTTGCTTAGCTAAATTATTAACTAAGACAGACTTCTTTCTGTAAAATTCTCTTCAATTCTGTCAATAACACATGTATACATTGAGCCCCTGTCTGTTGAACTGCCACACAGTAGTGAACCCAAGGAAGTGATACAGCTCATGTAGATATGTTGGCTCTACCATCTTGCATCCGAGCAACAGGTCCTTGAGCTCTGAGGAACTAGAGTTGCTGAGTCAAAGGTTACTATTAAACAACTAGAATACATGCTTTGTGCAAATAGGTGAGGGTATGAAAGGAAGAGGTTAAAAATGAAAAACAAAAACAAAAACAAAAAAACCCAAACAACTTGGAGCTGCCAATGGCTGCCTGTAGCCATCTGTAGCCATCATTTACATGGTGTTCCAGAGTGCAGGTTTCGCCTTAGAGTCCCAAGTCACTGATTCCCGTGTCCCTCTCTACCACTAATATGGGCCGTGCCTCTTTCCATGAGAAAAAGGGAACCTTATGAAATGAAGAAATGATGACCACTTGTAAAGACTCCAATTTGTCTGTAAGTCAGAAAGTCAGAGGCTGGGGTATTTTAGGTCTTCAATTTCCATTATCTCTCACAGCACAATTGTTTAGATGTTAAATACGTGTATTAAACACTTTAAGGAATTATGTTTAAATATAAATATGTACTAGCTGGTTATTTCTATGTAGTCAAAACAACATGGCTCCCGTCCCATCTAGCTAATGGACTGTAAGTCATGAAGTACGGGTTTTCAGAGGACTGAAGACAAGCAATGTTTGATATGCTCACTTCAAGAACTTCTCAGTACTATAGAATACTGAAGGAAAGCCATTATGAGGCACGATTAAAGCTTGCTTTGTTTCCTAAGTTACAGGAGCACCAGACCAGGAAGAGGAGGAGAGAGGCTGTTCCAGCTCCTGCATCCCACCCCTGCTCCTCTCACCCCCAGGAACATACTAAGATCAGGCATATGCAAGAGAATCAACTCTTCAAAAATGGTTTCTTATTAAAGAAGCAATAAGGTTTCACTGCAGACAAATTGGAAAACATAGGTAAAGCAAAAGAAAAACTATTACTTATTTGGGAATAAGTCCTTTCAAGTCTTTTCTTTGCTTCTATGTACATATATTGTCTGTCATATCTCAAGATATGCTCATTTGGGTTAAAAACACTTATACTTTGTAGAGTTTCATTTTGTACTATTTTGGCTTCAGAGGCATTCCTTCCCATTTCTGAAGACTGAGATTGACTTGCAAGCACCTGAGAACCAAAGACAAAGCGTCACCTTTGCAGTGATGGCTGGCTCCAGAGTTCTGCTCTTAGAATCCTTGTAGTTTGATAGTTTGGAGCAGTTATAATCTGATATGAGATGACCCCTACGATGCCCTTATGTACTAAGTGAGTGTGATAGTATTTGCCTCATTTTCACTAACTTCATTTTACTTGATTCTTCCTCTTTTGGGAAGGGGGAGTACCTTCTTCACAAGTGAAGATCATGCGGGGTTTTGTTTGTAAACGTCGCCTTAAGCATTAAGTGTGTTATAGCCACAAAAAAAACTTAACAAGGGCAGAAAACAAGCTACAGAATAATTAATGAAGGGAGAATCTCCTCATTCAAATAGATATGCTGTGGGCTCCAGTCCCCTTGCAGTACAGGACCCAGAGAGGCCATCCTGCAGGACCCCATGCATCAGGGGGCTAGCCTAAGGTGAGGCCTTGCTGCTGCAGTAGTGTTTATAACAAAGCTTCAAAGACTCAAAAACACAATCACCAGTCTAAATGCAACTTGATTATGTGAAAATTAAAGGTTCTTACCATTGATGTTACTGATAGATCAGACTGTAATTATCAACCAAAGAATAATCAGGGTCATCTGCAACGGGCAGAACAGAGTAACATTAAGTTAATATCGTTTCATGATAAGATCTCAGCCCTTTTGAAATCAAAACATTCCACTTTAAAGATTCCAGTGACTGCCCTTTTGTAAAAAGAAAATATCTGGCGACAAAATCTACAAATGGTAGTCATAACTACAAACCAGAGGATGCTCTCCTACATTCTGGAAATCACTACTATGATGGCTTTGCCCTTAGTCATCCATGTACCAATGGCAGCACCTAGAGCAAAGTCATCTTCAATCACAGACATAAATAACTCCCACCTTATTAGGTGCTACTTGTTTTACAAAAATAAAATAACTTAAATCTTTATATTTTTCGAAGATATCATTTCAGGCCTGAAATTCCTCTTCAATCACTGAAGTTGTACTAAGCTACTATAAGCAGCATGAGTTGCCTCTTCCCTCAGTCCCTTGAACACAAGTAGGTATATCTTTCTTTCACTCAAATAATAGACATTTGTTGAGCACCTACTATGTGCTCACTACCGTGTTAGGTGCTCTGAGTGATATGGGAGAAGTGCCCACCCTCAGGGATCTTATAATTATCCAAGGAATAAAACTAACAAAAAAATGCTAAAATGTATCATTGTCCCACAAGTATCATGGGAGTTCTGAATGAAAAAGAGACCAGAGTGATTAGTGGAAGACCCAATTATGGTCAGTGTACAAATATATAATATCAGGTTATGTGTTTCTAGACATCTATGCCTTCTATCAGTCATGTTTCTGTGTAATCGAAAGGAAACTATATCTCCCTTGGCTGTTTTTCTGGTTCAAGTTGAAATAATCTCTTAGGTAAGACTGCCTTATAGTAAGTTTCTTTTTTCTTTTTCTTTTTTTTTTTTTTTAGTAAGTTTCTTTTGGCACTCCAAGAACTGAATTCTCTTTAATAAGCTATAAAGTAGACCACTGATTACCAAAGTCCATTCTGTGGCAAACAGTATTATATTAAGATCCTGATACAGTGTCATTCTCAAGAGAATTTGATTCTATTTATTCCCTTCTTTCCCTTTATTTCAACATTCTAGCTACTTAAACTTAAAGAGAATATGATGGGGCACTTGGGTGGCTCAGTCAGTTAAGCATCTGATTTCAGCTTGGGTCATGATCTCAGAATCCTGGGATCCAATCCTGCACAGGGCTCTGTGCTCAGCAGGGTGTCTGCTTCTCCCTTTGCCCTTGCCCCCTAGTAGTTATGTCTGTCTGTCTCTCTCTCTCCCTCAAATAAATAAAATCTTTTCAAAAAGAGAGAGACAGAACACAACATAAGCATTTCAAAAGGTCTTTCTTTGTCCTACCTGGTAAAGTTTTAGGAACTGGGAGAGGTCCTCTCCTGTAAGAAACGAAAACCAAAGTCTTTCAGATGAGTGCTTGTTATTTTTTTCTAATTTTTAGCTTGACACTCCAAGTGTACCACACTCTAATCAGATCTGGTTTTTGTTCTGGAGAGTCAAGGGAGAGTTCAGATGAAGTGTGAGGCCCATACCACTGACCTTTGGGAATCCAGGCTGCTGACATTCTATTATGCTGACGAGCAGAATAAAGAGCAGTCAGGAAACATGGAGCCATGTCCCCACAACCCAGACCAAATCTCTGCTGTGAGTGCAATTTCCTGATCTCCTGGCACTTCAGCATCTCCACATGTAAAGATGGAAAATACAAGCTACTCCCACCTCACCGTGAGGATGAAATGAGCTAATTCACAGGAACTGTTCTGAATGGTGCCTGGCATCCTTAAATATTGATTTGGGGGGGGGGGGTGCAGCCCAGGTGGCTCAGCGGTTGAGCGCCACTTTTGGCCCAGGTCGTGATCCTGGAGACCCGGGATCGAGTCCCACATCCAGTTCCCTGCACGGAGCCTGCTTCTCCCTCTGCCTGTGTCTCTGCCTCTCTCTCACTCTCTCTCTGTCTCTCATAAATAAATAAATTCTTAAAAAAAATACTGATGGGGGTCATGCAATGCCCCCTCAAATACTCTCTTCTCTTTTTAAAAACTGGAGTGGAAATGAACAGCTTAGCCTTGAAATTGACTGCATGTGAAACAGAAGTTTCTCTTCTTTCGGGATCCTTTACAGCAGGGGCAGACAGCAAATGATTTAGGCTCTGCCGGCCACCAGGGCACCTCTATCACAATTCTTGTCAACTCTAAGGCCAAAGCAGCCATAGACAAAATGTAAATGAATGAGCATGGTCAGATTCCAATAAAACTTTATATGAACACTGACATCTGAATTTTGTGTAATTTTCACGTGTCACACAATAGTATCTTTTTCTCTTTTCTCAGCTATTTAAAAATATAAAATCTATTCTTTACGCTTGGGCCCTACTAAAAGAGGTTGGTCAGAGATGACTCACAGGGGCCAGAATCTGCTGATTCCTGCTTTCTATAAGCTAGAAAAAGGTATAGGATTTATACATGAGTAGCAATAATCACACTCAAGTATGATATAGTCATCCTTAAACTATGACTGGTAAACTCCACTTCACATTTGTCCTAAAAATGCTACTTCCCCAATCTAGCAACCTCTAAGTAAATGCAGTGGTAGATGTGTTCCAATTCTAATACCTCTTAGAACGCTAATGATAACAACATTGATTTAAAGTATTTTTCTTCATGTGAAAGGCAACTGGTTATTACCTTGCTAAGTTAGGCCCTGGAGCCTTTCCCTGTGGAGCTGTATTCTTCTGGGGACAGTAGAAATTCTCATACATGATGGGTGCTAGGGGAATCAAGAAACAAAATATTAAGATGCTGAGGTCTTCCCTTCTTGACATGTAACCCAAAAGACTAGTAGAAATGCTTACACAACCCCCCCAAGCCCTGCCCCTCAATTCACCTGGTGGAGTCTGTCCAGTTTTTCGGTGACTCACAAAGTACGCAATGTCCTTCTCAATGCTGCAGGCTTCCAAGCTCTTACGGACTTCTTCATACATCTAACAGAAAGAAGATAAAGCAAGCTAGAGGTATATGTCGGTGATAATTGTAACAGCTTATTCAAACAGGTTTGATGAATGGCTGATTCTCCCAAATTTTGTTTTGAGAAGAAAAAGAGACATTCCCAAGTCTCCTTTTACATGGCCCATATAAAGGGATTTCTCTGATGCTTATCTGCTATTAAAATTGTTTTAAAGATGGCAAGAAATGTATCTCTGTGGCAGCATAAATACCTCGCAGAGTTTTTTTTTTTTAATACTGATGGCCAAAGGAAATAGATACCAAGACCAATGCTATACACAAATGCAAAGACAATGAATTAATTTGGAAAAAAAAGTTCTAGTCAATTTGACAGGTTTTCTAGGCGTTTAATTGTTCTTCTAAAGCAAATGTCCCATCTAAGTGAGGGTGGCTATTTCTTAACAAAGAGAACGCTTGTGGTCTGCTCAGCAGGGAGTCTGCTTCTCCCTCTCCCTCTGCCCCTCCCCCTGCTCCCACGTTCTCTCTCAATCTCTCTCTTGAATAAATAAGTAAAAAAAATCTTAACAACAACAACAAAACCTGCATCTGAATCTCCATTCTCTGCTCTCCTGCTCTAACTCTGATTTCCTTAAAGAGAAAGTCATGGTGGCAAAGCAGACTAGGAGTCAGGCAGTCGGCGTTTATTTGGGTCTATCAACTCATTTGGAGCCTTGGGCAAGTCACTGTACCTCTCTGGGCCTCAAATGAGGAGGGTGGACTAATATCTATGGTTCCTTCCACTCTAATGAATCCCCCATGGACACCTCTGACTTACATCATCGCTCGTGACACATTGTTGTGACAGCTGATTCAGGTGTAACCACAATGCATTCCGAAAGAAGTTTATTCGTTCACATTCTTGAGCTTCAAAAATCTATGGAAACATAACCACATGTCCATTCACAGGCAGAGAAAGAGCACATTTATCTAGACTGACTATGACTTAAGAAACAGTATCAACCCTCATTATCTGTAAGCTTATTGCCCCCACCTGTGAGGAAATGCATCAACTCTTTTTTTTTTTCATCAACTCTTAATGCAAGCAAAGAATGCAAATGGTGTTCTCAATACGGTATTAACACAAACAGGATTGGATATAGTTCTAAGGTAAGAGGTAATGACAAAACTAGATAGCAAGGTTCTAACCTGAATTACAGCTCACATTTCCAACTGCCTAACAGGCATCTGCACCTGGGCAGCTTCCTAGAGCCTCCAATTCAAAACTTTGCCCTGCTCCATGCCTGAATTCAATCAGCAAGACGGTCACAATTGTTCCAGCTACTTCATAAGAACATGGGGGAACCCGCCCTTGCCTTCTATCTCTGTGTATTTTTGAAATTTTCTTTAATAAAAAGGTTTTCTTAAAAAAGTCAATCCCGGGGATCCCTGGATGGCTCAGAGGTTTAGCGCCTCCCTTCAGCCCAGGGCGTGGTCCTGGAGTCCTGGGATCGAGTCCCACATCAGGCTCCCTGCACGGAGCCTGCTTCTCCCTCTGCCTGTGTCTCTGCCCCTCTCTCTCTCTCAGTCTGTCTCTTATGAATAAATAAATAAAATCTTTTTTTTAAAAAAAAAAAAAAGGTCAATCCTCAAACAATAGGTTTTTGGATATAAGCAAATATCAACTTTTGGAAAATCAAATTATTCTATAAAGTGGATGTTATTCTGTTCAACAGTGGATATTATATATTAATGTATTTTAATGTTGAATATAACACTATTACATTTCAAAACTTTTTATAATGTAAAGCTTCACACATACACAAGAGACAGTTTAATGAATGCCCATGTACCCATCCCTGACTTAAATGTTTATCAACTCACAATTCTGTTTTATTATGTTTACCAACTCATCTACTCCTCAGAGTATTTTGAAGCCAAATACATCATTTCACCTGCAAACCTTTTAGTATTTACATGTAGCATGTATTTTAGAATTTATTTAGTACTTAGTATGCTTATATTAGTATATTTAGTATTTAGGTAGCATATAAATACTAAAATTTCTCATTTTTTATTATAGAATATTGCACATGACAGAATCATAGAGAGCAATGTAATGAATACCCACATATCAACCACCTAGCTCGGTCAACAATTTTGGCCATAGGTGCCTCAGATTCTGTTTGAACTGCTTATGTGCTTTCTCCAATTTCCACCACCTTCCCCACAAATAACCATTCTCCTAAACGTTATCATTCCCATGCAAGCTTTTATAATATGTATGTGTCCATAAAATGTATATGATATTGCTTTGGATTTTTTTAAATCTTAAAAAGGGGGCCTTGGGGCCCCGCGGATGGTTCAGTGGTTGAGTGTCCGCCTTCGGCTCAGGGTGTGATACCGGGGTTCTGGGATTGAGTCCCCATATCAAGTTCCCCTCAGGGAGCCTGCTTCTCCCTCTGCCTATGTCTCTGCCTCTCTGTGTCTCTCATGAATAAATAAGTAAAATCTTAAAAAAGGGAGGGGGCCTTATTCTAGGCTTTTCCATGAGAGTGTGGAGTCAAGGAAGTAAAACAGACAAGAGTGCTTTAGGAGGGGGACAGTGACCCACAGTACTAGACAGTAGATACAGGTCAAATAAGATCAGGAACTACAAAAGCCTGCTGCACCTCACACCATGGAGATCACTGATTCCTCCAGTGAGCAGCAGTGAGTGGGGCAGGTGTGGGGTGGGGATCCCCAGACCCAGAAGGCTGGGAAAGGCAAGGGCAATGAGGATGTGAAGACAGTTCCTTTAAGAAGCCTGGCTGTGAAGAGAGGAGAGGGTAGCAGATGGGAATCAACAGCCCGTAGATTTTAAAACCAAGAATGAGCTGAGTTGTGCAGCAAATGACGATAGAAGTTCACAATAAAGGCAGCTGTGCTTGGGCATGAGGAAAAGACAGCTGGATGATGGCAGCTAGAGCTCAGGTCATGGCGTGGGCTCTTGACAGGGCAGGAGCAGCTCCTTTCTAACAGGAGAAAAAGAGGGTGAGGGGTGGAGATCAGCGATTCTCAAGCTTTAATCTGCATAAGAATCACCCGAGGATTTAGTAACGCAGGGTTGGGCCCAATCCAACCTTCTCTGTTTAGTAGGGCTGCAGTTGGTCTGAGAATCTGCCTCTCTAACAAATTCCAAGGTGGTGCTGATGCTACAGGTCCTGGGACTTCACTTTGAGAAGTGTTGGTAAGAAAAAGTATAGAAGGCTGAAAGAAACTTGAGGAAGATTCCAGATTACATCTCTATTTTCTCCAGGAAACTGTAAGGGAGGTCATGTGCTAAAAATGAACTGGTGAAATGAAAGGTGTATGGAGAGTAAAAACTTCTAAAGCCTGCTCACCTTCAGTCTGCATAGTCCTTATGGGAGAGCAAGGTCAGGTGAGGCTCTGGAAAGCTAATTACCTAACCTCCACCCCCACCCCACCGCACCCCCCCCCCCGCCTATAGGCTACTTCACTGGGCTATGGCGTGTTTGGGCTCACCAAACATCAGAGGAAGTCCTTGAGCAGAGTAGGACACAATGGTCAGGACTGGGAGGCAGCAGAAAGATGAGGTCTGGGGGGAAAACTTCAGTTCCTTCCATCCTCCACTGAAACTTCTCATTTCGAATTTGCCCTCAGGCAATTCTATGAGAACTGAGGTCTGCCAGAGTAGACACTCCAGATTCTCGAGGAAGACCCACCCTTCCCTCCCCAGCACCTGTACCTCGCAGGCCTTGATGTGCTCACTCTGCCAGTCTTCACGGACCTTGTCCAGAGTGTTGATCTGCATCATGTACGTTTTGTCTGCAATGCAGGGGAGGGGCCTGGGTTCAGAAACCACACAGGACCAGGGCTCACATACCCACTGCCCGGTTAGCCCCAGATGGTGAATGACACTCCCCGGAATGGCAGTGAGCTCACAGGGCCCCACAGAGCTCTGAGCACTGACACTGGATCAAGCAAAAGGCAAGAAATAGTTCACAGAAGGAGAGAGAAGACTGGCAGGAACCTCAGCCAGGGTTCTCTTTGGCTAATTCAGCCTTGATTGCTTCTACGCCCTTCCATTTTCAGGAAAATGATCCAGCCAGAGGTGTGGAGAAGAGAACTATCAAGTTACTTTGGTTTTGGATTTAGAGACTTAAGTGACTATGGTCATGAGAGGCTTGTCTCCTGCAAGGTACTCTGGGATTAGAAGGCTTTGCAAACATTTGGTTTGGATTTCAGATTTCAGCCATGACAAGGCCTCACAACTTGGCTATTTCCTTCGTAACAGAAAAGAGTCAGCAGGGCTGAAATGGGCTTTTTAGATAGATGTTCCCAATAAATCAGAGTGAGCACTTGATTATAAAGCTGCTGGCCCCTGACCCCGCCACTACCACCACGATTCAATTACAAGTAAGGCCCACAACCTAAGGGGGGGTTTCCATTTACTTCCTCTCACTTTCCCAGGTTCTAATATACCCTCTCCCCCTCCCTCTCTCCCTTCTTTCCTCCTGATAATCTCTGTCACCCCACTGTCTGTGCACACATACTGTGGGGTATATAAAACTACCTTCCCGGACAGATTCTGCTGAATGTCAACCCCACAACAATCCTCCCCCATCCCTGGGAGCAGCCCCTCACCCGAGTCTTCTACTGCGGTCTTCGCAGTTGCCAGTTTCACAAAAAGCTGTGAGGACAAAGAAGGAGAGAGGAGAAACACTGAACCAGGCCTCCACAGGCAAACCAGACTTAAAAACAAAGACTGTGAAGACACCCCCGGTGTAGCCCACGTCTTACCTGTATTTCTCTCAGCAAATTGTTCAACTTCCCTTCTAATCTTATGGCCATTGGGCAATAGCCACCAAGCACCATGCCCTGTGTTTTCCTAAAGACATACCCCTGACCTCTTCTTGCTGACAATCTTCTATTCAGATTATGTAAAACTGATTATACACCCAAGCAGGAGACATCCTGACTACAAAGAATACTTGTGTTTTGAAGAAAGAAGAAAAAAACCAAAACCCCCTCCCCTACTTCTTATCACCCTTCTCCCTTACCCCTAGCCACACTTCTCCAGCTCTCCCCAAACCCCAAGATTGTGACAACTGACTTTCTGGTTCAGAGGATCCTGGTAGCCTGGAGGAGAATATTGTCAGGACCTTAGGATGCAGCTACATTTTAAATTAAGATTATTAACTCGGTTTTAGTTTCAAATACACAAATTTCAGATTGTTTAGGCTGTCGGCTCCCCCAGGTACCTTTTCTTGTTGCTTCACGTTTACCAGGTTGGCACTCCGGTGGACAGCCTGCTCTGCTTCATCTTTGTCTCGGCATTTCTGCTCATAGTTCTTCTTTGCCTTTGTTGTTATAAGCCAAAAGAGAACCAAAGGGGGTAAGTGGAATGCAACCCTGCAAAGCAGCCATGCCAGCCCACTAAGCCCAGCAAAGAACACGACACTCTGATTAGCGCTGGGATCACCACCAGGTGGTGGGCACTCTGAGGGCAAATGCTCCTCCTTATCTCTTTTTGGGAGGTTCTCTGGCCCTTTTCCAAACTATGCATGTGGTGCCGACCTGATCAAGGAAGTAATAACTCCTATTTGGGCAATACAAAGTACATGAGATTTAAAAGATGACAGAAACAAAAGATGTGATTTGAAATAGGTACAATGAAAATAGGTATGTAACTGTTAGATGTACAACCCAATATTTATATAATATAAGCCTCAAAACTTAGATGCAATCACTTGGCCATGGTAATTACAATGACACTTTGATATTCTAACGTGCCCACCATAGTAAGTGATGCCCTCTCCACTAGAATTCCATCAATTCTGACACTTAAGCACAGCAATGTTCCTTTTTGATTTAAAGAATTCTTTCTGTTTTAGGTACTTTAAAAGTAGGCCGTGGTCTAGCAGGGGCTAACATTACTACCATGAGAGTGAAAACAGTTCTCAAACTATAGTTAGTGAATCAGAGCATTTTCTGTTTCAACTATTGAAGCAAAGATTTAACTTGTTCAAGCATAACAAAGCTGCCAATCAGCTAATAAATAAAAATGTTGGCCCCTGAAAACTGCTTGATTAAGAATGAAGACTCGGGATCCCTGGGTGGCGCAGCGGTTTGGCGCCTGACTTTGGCCCAGGGCGCGATCCTGGAGACCCGGGATCGAATCCCACGTCCGGCTCCAGGTACATGGAGCCTGCTTCTCCCTCTGCCTGTGTCTCTGCCTCTCTCTCTCTCTCTCTCTCTCTCTCTCTCTCTCTGTGTGTGTGTGTGTGTGTGACTATCATAAATAAATAAAAAAATTTAAAAAAAAAAGAATGAAGACTGATTTGCAGAGATGGTTTGTGTTCATCAAATATTTCATGCGCGTTCTTGGATTTCTTGGCATCTCTTCTGCAATTCAGTTGGGGTTAACCTTTCAGTAAACAACCAAAGAATTCCCTATATACACTATACACACACAGAAATGTCATAATTTTTTATAATTACAAGCACACGAGCTGTTCATGCAACAATTTCCTTTGTAACAATATGTGAGACATTTCTCTATATCAAGCATGAGCCCTGTAGCTGAACACTTTAATGGTTGTAAATACACAAACATACACACACACACACACACACACACCATAATTTTAGCTGTCTCTCTATTGGTGGACATTTATCTTGTTTCCCATTTTTTTGTAACATAAAAATATGCTGATTTTATTTTGGATAGTATGAATTTATTTACATAGGTCAAATACCTAAAAGTGTAATTGTTTGGTGAAAGAATATGTATGTATCTAACTTCCTTCCAAAATGACCACACCAACTGAAACTGCCACCAGCAGTTATGTGGAGTAAATTTCCTCACTCTCACCAATACCAAACTTAGACGATATGCCTGACTTTTCTAAGACTAGAGGAGAAAATGTTAGCATAAAGTTGTTTTATTTGTATTTATATTTCATGACCACTAAGATGGTCTAGTCTTTCTACTTCATGACTTTTACCCACTTTCTGTTGGAGCATTCTTTATTTTCATTGGTTTCTAAGAGCTCAGTCCATATTAGGAATACTACCTGGCTATAAGTTATATAAGTTACAAATATTTTCCCCCATTTATAATCTCTCTTGAAACCATGTATAAGATATTTTTTAAAGATATCTTTTTCCTTGGAGCACCGGGGTGGCTCAGTGGTTGAGTGCCTGCCTTCGGCCCAGGGCGTGATCCCAGGATCCTGAGATTGAGTCCCACATCAGGCTCCCTGGATGGAGACTGCTTCTCCCTCTGCCTGTGTCTCTGCCTCTCTCTGTGTGTCTCTCATGCATAAATAAATAAATCTTTTTTTTAATCTTTTAAATAAATAAATAAGACTCTGAAAAGTAGAGAGAAGAGGGTAACCTGGTTAGACTCTGGTCTCAGAAGGATGACCTACATGTAAGTTCTCTGGGTTTTCTTTTTGCCTCATATATTGCAGACTGAGTGCCAAGGAAGCCAAGCAATGAGGGAATGACAACGAGCATAGACACAAGTCCCATCAAAAACCTGCCTTCTCTAGCCAAAAGACCAGAAAAGGGACAGCGTTGAGGAGAGAAACCTTTAGAAAGTAACCATCCTACTGCAGCTAAACACCACCTAAAATGAGTGTGGCCTCACTCCCACACATCCAGCAAAGGCCATCTAGACTTCCACTCTCACCAAGCTATAATGAGATGCCCAACTTCCCTGACGTGGTAGTGTCAGAGAGGAACAAATAGGGAACTGGAACTTTCATTCCCACTGGGAGGTAACACAGCCCTATACATGATGCCAGTGGAAACCATGTGGGCAATCTGGACTTCAACCACCCCACCTCACAACAATGAGGTCCACCCCCTGTCTGCTGGGGTGGTGTCAGAGAAGTCTAGTGGAAGCTCAGAACTTAGAACTTAAACCACCTCCCAGTAGTTACAGAGCCACACTGTGCTTTCAGTGGAGGCTAGATTTTTTTACCCCCATAAAGGAGTAATAAGGCAGTACCTCACTGCCCTCTGCTAGAATGGTGTCAGAGTAAGCCAGCTAAAACAGAGATTTAAATCAGACCTAGAGGGATCCCTGGGTGGCGCAGCGGTTTAGCGCCTGTCTTTGGCCCAGGGCGTGATCCTGGAGACCCGGGATCAAATCCCACATCGGGCTCCCGGTGCATGGAGCCTGTTTCTCCCTCTGCCTATGTCTCTGCCTCTCTCTCTCTCATTCTGTGTGACTATCATAAATAAAAAAAAAAAAAAAAATTAAAAAAAATAAAATAAATAAATCAGACCTAGAGTCTTTCAATATAATACCTAAAATGTCGAAAATCAAATGACTATCACTCATCATGCCAAGAATGAGGAAGATCTGAAATTGGGGGAAAAAAAAAAGGCCATTAAAAGTTGCCAGCATCAAGATAACAGAGATTGTTAGAATTATCTGACAAGGATTCTAAAGCAGCCATCATAAATATATTCAACAAGCAATTACAAACACACTTAAAATAAATGAAATATAGGGATCCCTGGGTGGCGCAGCGGTTTGGCGCCTGCCTTTGGCCCAGGGCGCGATCCTGGAGACCCGGGATCGAATCCCACATCAGGCTCCCGGTGCATGGAGCCTGCTTCTCTCTCTGCCTGTGTCTCTGCCTCTCTCTCTCTGTGACTATCATAAATAAATAAAAATTAAAAAAAATTTAAAAAAAAATAAAATAAATGAAATATAGATGGTCTTGGCAAAGAAATAGAAAAGCTCAGCAAAGGCAGAGAAGATACAAAGAAGAACCAGACGGTAGGGTGCCTGGGGGCTCAGTCAGTCAAATGTCTGACTTTGGCTCAGGTCATGATCTTGGGGGCCTGGGATCAAGCCCTGCATTGGGCTCCATGTTCAGCCAAGAGTCTGCTTGTCTCTCGCCCCGATTGTGTGCTCTCTCTCTCTCATTCTCTCAAATAAATAAAATCATCTAAAAAAATGCTTTTTAAAGAACCAAATGGAAATTTTAGAACTAAAAAAAAAAAATACACTCTTAAAAATAAAAAACTCAGTGGATGGGCTTAAAAATGGAAGAGACAGAAGAACAAGTCTGTGAACCGGAAGATAGAACAATAGAAATTACCTAATCTGAACAACAGAGAGAAAAATAGGCTGAAAAAAAAATGCTTAGAGCCTCATGGATATTTTGCACCATAACAAAAGATCTAACACTTGTGTCCTTGCAATCCAAGAAGAGGAGAATGGGCTGAGAAAACACTTGGAGAAACAAATAGCTGAAAACTTCTGAAATTTGACAAAAGATGTAAACCTACAGATTCAAGAAGTTGATCAAACCCCAAACAAAATAAGCCCAAAGAAATCCATGACAAGACCCATAGGTAAACTTCTGAAAACTAAAAAACAAACAAGCAAACAAACCAACATAAACAGAAATGGCACTTTACCAATAAGGGAAAACCAATTTTAATTACAGTAGCTTTCTTATCAGAAACCACAGAGGCCACAAGAAAGTAGCACATTTTCAAGTGCTGATAGAAAAGAAATGTCAACACATAATCCCATATCCAGTGAAAATATCTTTGAACACTGAAAGGGGAATCAAGACACTTTCAGATGAAAAAACACTCAGAGTATTTGTTGCTAGCAGACCATTCTGCTGAATGGCTAGAGGAAATTCTCTGGGGGTGCCTGGCTGGCTCAGTTGGTAGAGCTTGTGACACTTGATCTCAAGGTTGTGAGTTCAAGCCCCACACTGGGCGCGGAGCCTACCAAAAAAAATTCTCTAAGCAAAAGGAAGCTATAAAAGAAGGAACCTTGAAACATCAAGAGGGAAAAAAAAAGACACAGTAAGCAAAAAATGAGTAAATACAATAGTATTCCTTTCTCTTGAGTTTTCTAAATCATTTTTGACAGTCCAAGCAAAATTTATAACACTGATATAGCTCTTCATGTAGGTAGAAGAGAGAGTCAAGAAACTTATATTTCACTAAGGCTTTCCCTTCAATTGTGAGAAATCTCACCCTAGACTGCTCAAAACATAGAACGTCTGGGAACAAATTTGCTGTCCAACACAATTTCTGTGATTACATTAATATCACTCCCTATTTATCAGTTACTTTTGAGGTGCTGTGCATCACGGGAAAAAATGATGCAGAAGAGACCACACATGCCATCAACATGGTGACATTTTTGTAACTGGGTTACCAGATACCATGTCATAGTCAGAGTATATCATGATACCTCTGTACAGATATGGAGTCACAGATGTTGCAAAACCAGAGTTCACTGTGTCCAAGTGAACAGATTCATAAAAGCTAGAGTGAGGGATCTAGCAATTTATCTTAGCTCTGTCTTGTTAAGTGTTTTTTAAATAAATTAGTTAAGTAAGGCTTTTACAGTTTTCAGATCTTGAAACAGGAAGGGGTCACTCAGTAAAATAGGTAAGAAATCAAGATTCAAAATAGTCACAGGGAAAAAGCTCAAATCCAACAAGATAAATGGTGCTATGGGGGATATAGATGCCTTGGTCTTGGCCTGAAATATTTAAATAGATTTTCTCAGGTTACCAGAAAGGCCCTGTTATTTTGTTTCCTCTATCTAATTTTATCCTCAGTCTTTCCAAGGCCTTAAAAAGAAGGAAAGTCAAACTTCTAAGGGTTTTTGTCTCCCCAAAACACTGCCGTAATGAATAATACTATTTAAATATTGGGACGCCTGGGTGGCTCAGCGGTTTAGCGCCTGCCTTTGACCCAGGATCGAATCCCACATCAGGCTCCCGGCATGGAGCCCGCTTCTCTCTCTGCTTGCGTCTCTGCCTCTCTCTCTCTCTCTCTGTCTGTCATGAATAAATAAATAAAAATCTTGTTAAAAAATTATTAAAATGTTATTTTCAGGAATACACTCCTACACAGCACAGGATTTCAGAAAATGTCACCATGACATAAAGAAGGCAATAAAATGAGACTCAGGGGGCACCTGGGTAGCTCAGCCAGTTAAGAGTCTGACTCTTGGTTTTGTTCAGATCAGGTCATGATCTCAGGGTCCTGGGATCCAGCCCGAGTCGGGCTCTCTGCTCGGTGGGGAGTCTGCTTCTCTCTCTCCCTTTCCCTCACTTGTTTTCTCTCTCTTCTTCAAATAAATACAACCTTTTATAAATAAATAAATAAATAAATAAATAAATAAATAAATAAATAGACTCACATCCATGGTTTTCTTGAACTGTAAGCTCTTTTGTTTATGGGCAGTATCCATTAAAAGCTCTGTCTGTGAAGAAAGGACAAAGCACTGTTAATTAAAAAAACAAAACAAAACAAATTACTGTTAACCACAAGTTACCTTGAGGACTATGTGTTCAACGCGAACTATCTCACTTAATCCTCACACACTTAGAAGGTATGCGTGCTATTAATTATCCCCATTGCACAAATGAGGAAAGTGTAGCAGAGAGGCTGAACAACCTAGCCCAGGTCTTATGGCTGGTTAACGGGGAGACCTGCCTTTGAACTTGAGCAGCCACCATTCAGAATCACTGATCCTTAGAACTGGGTCTTCAGGAAATCTGGATTGAAGGAATTTAGGTTTCAAAAAGGATTTTGAGACTCTTGTTAAAGCACCATTCATATTTTAAAAGAGGTCTTTCTTCTGTAAACCTATGTCAGCATCCAGAAATGGCAAACTCTTAATCAGCAAGGAGCCCAGGCAGTATGAAGGAAAGAAATGCGTAAGGAGAGTTAGAAGAAGATGTTCCTTTACTCCATCTAATCCAGGAAAGGGACTCTGTTGAGTTCAATTGGGAACAATTTCTTTCTTGTGGCTGTAATCTTAACACTTTCACTACACAATATAATGAAGCAAATAATAAAAATGTAGGCCTCAGAGGTAATAGTAGTTCTCATTTATCAGATATTACTATGTGCTAAGTGGTTTTCATGCATCACAATGACTCTGAGTATTCTTATCCCCATTTTCTTGACAGTAAACTGAGGTGGATTAACTTACCCAAGCAAGTAACAGAGTTGAGATTTGGACACAGCCTGACTCCTGTGCTCTTATTCCTAATCATTGCCCTAACCTCTTACGATAGCTTTATGAAAACCCTAACACTGGGACGCCTGGGTGACTCAATGGTTAAGTGTCTCCCTTTGGCTCAGGGAGTGATCCTGGGGTCCTGGGATAGAGTCCTGCATCAAGGCTCCCCAAAGGGGGCTGCCTCTCTCTGTGTGTCTCTCATGAATAAATAAATAAAATCTTAAAAAAAACAAACCCTAATCTCTAATCACTACCCTAATCCCTTATGATAGCTCCATAGAACCAAATCGGTTTATAAAAGACTGAGAGATGCAATAATTCAAAGTGAACTATGGCACTGCTCTTGTGCAAAAATATATAATGCAAAATAATAATATTGCAAATGATATTCAAATGTGGTTTCCCTTTCTTCTGGACAATTAAATTTTTGTGTGTTACCAACACAAACATGGTTGGATAGATTTTCAAGATATCTGAATGGAATGTTTGGGATGGTGTAACTTCAAATATAAATTTTGAAGAATACATGAAATTCCCCTGAGGGTGGGTGGGTCAGAGGTCTTCAGAGAACCAAGAAGTCATCTAGCTCAGCTGAAATTGAGGGACCAAGAGGTGGTCATGCATCTGCTAATAGTGAAGACACTGTAGACACAGAGAACAGACATGAACCCCACATGCAAAGACTCACGGGAAGGTCCTTGCCATCACAGACAGGAAGCTGTGAAGTTCACATGAGTGCCTGTGTTTATTTGCCAGGAGGAGGAGCTGGGTTTATTTGTCAATGGTTTCTAATTTTCCCAGGCTCCATGGAGCAGATCAGTTAGCAATGTTGGTCTAGTCCATGGTCCTTTCCAGTCCAAATATACACATTGCCATCCTTCCAGTTTGGGAGATGTTATTATTTTATAGTCTAAGGCCCCAGCCAGGCCTCCTTATGTCCAACTTGCATGTAACACCTGCTTCAAGCACCTCTCAGGTGGCTACAAAGTCTCATTAGCCAGACCTTCTCCCTTCCTCTTCCTCTCTGCCTTCCAGGATGCCTGGCATCTGTATGTGAACAGGACCCCAGAGAGGAAGTCTGGCTCTAACCTGACAGGTATGATCCCCAAGGCCCAAGGGGTGATATTGCTCCAGGCCATCCAGTGACACCAAGTCCAGCTCTGTCTGCTACATCACTTTGATTAAAATCTCCTCATGTTCATATTCACTTACAGAGTGACCTACTCATGGCAGGTCTTCTATGGCCAAACCCAATGGAAATCTAATTGTTGTATTATTGATAAGACAAAGTAGTGCAAGAACTATCACCTCTGCTCCAAGGTGGGGAAAAGCAAGAGGGTGAGGTAAAGAAGGATGGGATATTATAAAGGACCCAAATGCCCCTGTGGTAAATTATCGGAATAGCTGCTTAGTGGTCTGTTTGTCTGTCTGTCCACATTCAGACTGTATTCAGAAAGCCGGTCATTCTGCATCACTCAGGAAGTTCCTTTCTTCAGAGGTTGCTCACTACACAGGCAGAGCAACATTCTGCCCTGATCCTCGCAATCTTAGCTGAGAGCGTAGAATGGAATGTGGGCACCAGAGGAGAGTTCCTGACTGTGTGCTGTCCCTTCAAGGGACAAGCTAAAAGAACTTCCCCCAGGAGGCCTTCCAGCCTCCCTGATGAGGTCAGATGTCCCCACCACATGCTCAGGTGGGATCCTCATCTTCCCTATTAGTTAAGGTTCATCACACTTTATCATGATGGCCATGTCACATCAGTCTCTGGCCATGCTCTACACTCCATGAAGGAAAGGTGACCATGTCTGTATCATTCACCACCCACAGAAATCTAGTTGTTTAAGTGAGTACACCATTAACTTCTGGTCACCCATTCTACTTGCACCTCCCCTCCTCCAAGCTCCTAAAAGAAACCAGCTGATGGCTTTCTCCAATAAGTGGAAATGGCTTAATTTCTAAAAAGTGGAAGACCAAGGCAGGCAGGGTTTGGCCAGTGAAAATGAGAAGTTACCATTGACACATTTTCTCCCAAAGTTTGATTAAAAAAAAAAAAAAGTATCTAAATACGGAAGTGGTAGAAACCAGAGTTCACTGTGACACAAAGAACTACAAATTTATTAATAAACTTTGGACTTCTCCAAGAAAGCTCAGAAGGCATTTTCCTGCTATAGAGAGCCCACAGAACATAGGAAATTGGGAAGACAGCAGCGGATTGAACACTGGCTCCTCGCTTACTTAACAAAATTCAGAACACATTCTTCTAGCTACGAGAATTTGGTCTTTGTAACTTGTTAGGAGGGGAAGTTCCAGAAGGCTTGCAAAACCAACAAAACCCTCCCTGAAATGATCAAGGCTACCGAAGGCAGTTGGGAACATGAGGAAATGACCCTCTGCTCCTCTTATTGGAAATCATGTACTCAGTGACTCTGATCGTCTAAGGCATTTTACCCCTGAAAATTGTGATTCAACTTTTGGGCAGGGTTGGCAATGTCAGCCAAAAACAGTGTGACTATCCAATGGGTGGGTGTAATACCCATAGTATTTCTGCTCTGAAAAATATCTGAAGCCAGATACCCTTCTCAAACCTGATACAAGAAGCATGAGTGTGTATAAAACTACTCAATACGGTGTTCTTTAAATGTTAGTTTCCACCCTTCCTTCCTAACAAGAGGCACAGCTGTAAGAGCAGCTCAGGAAATGACAACAGATGAAGGCAGTCAGGCTTTTAAGATGCTGCCACATGCCTAGTGGTCACCAAAGAAGCTGCAATTAGACTCTGACTTAGAACCACAGGGAAAGTTGCTAAGACTGATGTACGAGTAGAAACAGCCTTAACAGCTGGATGCTTTACTATTAGACAATGACCTTCCAATGGTCAGGAGCCAGGATGAAGACAGATTTCCAAAAAGTCCATGCAAAGCTACTGGGGAGACCTGGCTAGAAATCTTTGGATGCCAAATAGGAAGGAGCTTGTGCCCCATGTGAAGCTGAGGTTCCAATCTTATAGACCAGATATAAAAAAGGAAATTGGAGAAGGGCCCTATTCAGGCTAACCTGAATATATAAGTCATTTAGGAACAAAATAGAAAGGAGTCAGAATAGTGGCTGGTCTAGTCTAAGGAACACTTTACTGCTATAAATCTGGACTTCTTTTCTTGATCCTTATAACTTCTTAAATGTTTGCCAGTTTTATTTACTCCTGCTTACTCCATCTCCTTCCATGTAGTTGGACAGAGTAAATTTCATCAATGGAAAAGAGCCTATGTACACTTGATCTGAAGACAAAAAGGACTTGGATTTCCCAGGGCCTTGGTCTCCCTATTTGTAAAACAGGGCATTTGGACTACATGGTCTCTGGGAGAATGTGAGTCTTCTCCACATCTTATCCTTCCCTTACTGCCTCGTCCAGGAGGGAGTGTGGTCTGGGAGCCCCTCCAGGTCAAATGCCCAAGACTCTACTGAAGACAGAGGGCTCCCCCTTGCCAGTCACAGTCTGAATAGTGGCAGCAGATATGAAAAGAAGAGGAAGGCAGGCCAGACCCCTAAATCCTGCAAGAATTCAAAGAGAACTGACCATCTAGACTGGGTCTCCACATGGCTTCCCGATAAATAATCTCATAGGTTAAAAGAAGAACATGGCTGCATGAAGGTAGGAATGAGCCAAGGAGTTTGGCGAACAAATGAGCCTGCAGTTTTCTGCCATAGGAAAAGCAACATCTTAACACAGATGCAAATCCAACCTTTTTCCGTTGTAGCTTTTGCTTCTCTCTGAATTCTTCCATCTTCCTGGCCTCTTCTCTTAGGGTCTGGGCAAGCTGAATGTGACATTGTGCCACACTGTCTATCTCTGCAAAAATAATTTTTAAAACAAAAAGAAAAAACAATAAACAAGATCGACAAATGTTGAATTCAAATATACAAAACTACACAAAATGTGTACACAAAATACTGGAGCAAGCGGTAAAACGAACCTACTTCACTTGGTCACCACATTTCTTGAGCCCTTCCATGTGCCAGCATTGCCCTGGCCACCAAGACCAAAGCTAAAAAATCTTTAGCTTAGCCTCCTACCATGGAAGGAGTGTGTGTGTGCCCAGTGTGTGTGTCCCTAGTGTGTGCCCAGGGCTGGGAAGACAAACAGCCAAGGCCCCAGCTCATGGAGCTTACGTGCTAGAAGACATCACTAAACCCACTGCAATTTCAAATTCAATACTTATTTCTCATTAGATGACTCTGACAGTCTTTCCATCTCTAACATGGGCCTGAGAATTGGTAATAAAGGTCACGCACAGGAATTTTGGCTATTGATAGTTATTTCTAGATAGAAAGACTATTGGTGATTTTTTCCCCTTATTTTCTAAGATCTTTGCAATGAGCATGGCTTCCCTTTTTTTTTTTTTTTCCGGCGCCAGCCATGGCTCCCTTTATAACTACCACAACAAAACTCTTATTTTACTGATTCTAAGAAAACAAATTGAAGTATGACATTAAAGCTAGAAAGATGGACAGATCTGACCTAAGAAAAAATGTTAAACTTGTGTGTGTCAAAATAACCTTAAGCAAGGTTCAAAGATACATGACTAATTGGAAAAATATCAGTAATTTATATAACAAAGAGTAAATAGCTATGTCATAAGAGCTTTCACAAATCAAAAGAAAAAAATATATTATTCCAGTATAAGAAAATTGGTTAAAAACATGACATTTTTTTAAAAGATTGGCTAAATGACAATAAACATTTGAAAATGTATTCAGCCTTAAAGCTACTGAAAAAAATTAAAAACTTGAAAACCCTAGAAGTATATAATTTTTTGCTTTTCAGTTGGGGAAATTTTTTAAAGTGTGAAAATTCTTCATTTTGGCAAGCATGGGGGAAAAACAGCACTTTCAGTGGAGGGAAAAATCAGTCCAACTCTTCTGGGAGAAGTTTGGCATTGTGTAGGATCAAAACTTTCTTTCTTTTTTTTAAAGATTTCATTTTTAAGTGATTTCTACACCCAATGTGGGGCTTCAACTCACAACCCCATGAGATCAAGAGTCACATGCTCCATTAACTGAGCCAGCCAGGGGCCTCTCAAAACTTTCAAATGTGCAAGAATGAGGCAGAGCTAAATGATCTGAAATGGGAAGATGCTTAGAGAATATTGTTAAGAAAAACAAATTGTAGAGATAGGTGTAGTATGATCTCATTTATATAAAAACTCACTTCTATGTATATGTGCATCTTTGCAAATTAAGAAAGAAAGAGAGGAGCTCCTGAGTGGCTTAGTGGGCTAAGTGTCTGCTTTTGGCTCAGATCATGATCCCAGGGTCCTGGGATCAAGCCCTACAAACGGCTCCCTGCTCAGTGAGGAACCTGCTCCTCCCTCCCTTCTGCCCCTCCACCTGCTTGTGTTTTCTCTCTCTCTCTCTTTCTCTCTGTCAAATAGATAAATAAAATCTTTAAAAAACAAAAAAAATTATAAATGCATGGAAGAAAGTCTAGAGAGAGATATATACCAAACTGCTAGCATGAAAACATTGATGTTTTCATTTCAAAACTGATCTTAAAACATAGGCTCTGCCCTCACTCCATAGACTCGGAACCACTGCCATGGTATCATCCTATTTATTTATATGAATAGAGATATTTATATATAGGTTTAATTGCATAAAAAACATCTGGAGTCATTCACCAATAGATTCACTAAGTCACCAATAACTGCTTATCAGTGGGAAGTGAAAGTTCAGATGTTTACTATCTCCTTGATAGTTAGTTGTCTAAGGCGGAGGAGGAGAAGAACTGGACAGGTCCTTGAAGACCAAAGTGCCAGCATCTTGCCCTGGATTCCAAGTGTGAGAACCATTGCTCTAAGTGAGTCAAATGCACATCATGATGCGAAGGTATGGAAGATGGCTTCTGCTCATCTCAACTCTGCAGAGCTACTTGTCACCTTGGGAGCTGCTCTAATTTTTTTCTTTACCCAATCTGGGACTGCTGTTCAAATTAAAACCTACCATTTACCATTGACAACAGACAGATCCAGCACTTGCAAATACAGTTTAGAGAATCACTTACGCTGCTTAAAGACTTCCAGGGCCCGCTTCAGGGTGCTAAAAAAACAAGCACATATATCATTTCAGTTCTGGAAACTGGCTGTACAGTCTTATTATAATACCACCGCATGCTTCTCTCTGCCCGCATCTCACAGCCTGTAGACTCATCTTCGCCCATGAGCTTGGGAGGACAGCAAAGGATCAAGACTTTTGCAGCTCACTGTCTCCTCTTTCTTCCTCTCTCAATTCCAAGGCACGGGCATTATAAATTCTCCACTGTCCACTGGGGTAGAGCAAAATGCTAAACTTCCTTACGCTTCATTTCCCCCAGTGGTATAAAAGGAGTTATGGTCCCTTTCTCATAAGAATACTGGTCCTTCTTTAAAGTATGATCATTAGAAATGTAGGTACAAGCCAATAAAGGAAGGGTTCAAAGCATGGCTCCTGATCACCTTCTTTGTCATTCATTCATCAATCAAAGCAGAATGCAGGTCAGTGTGTAATGTGATTAGGACTGCAGAGGCCTGCAAAAGTCTACCCCAAATTATTTCTCCCAAGCCTCCCTCAATATGCTTACTTCAGAGAAGGAATCTAGAAATTTCCATATGAGTAGGATGGGCTATGGAATTTGTGAGGTCCACTGCAAAATGAAAACGTGGGGCCCCTTGTTTATAAATCAGAATTTCAAAATGGGGATGGCAAAGAGCATCAAACCTATTAGGAAGCTCTTCGAAGCGTGGGCTCCTGTATGACTGCCCACGAAGCCAGCCCTGCAGATGAGAGAGAGGGAGTCCTAAGGCCATTTCTGTATCAGTGAGTGATAGTAGAATATATAATTGTACAGAAACCTCACATCAGTTGCGAGAAGTATAAAATGGTTCAAAGACTCTCTCTCAGAATTGTCACAAACAAGTGTGCGTGCATGTGAGTATGTGTGCATAAGTCCCTCTATTAAATGCCTAGTATAAAATTATATATAGTATAATACTCCCTATGAAAAAGTATATGTAGAAAAAGACTTCAATTAAAATCTAGAAAGTTTTACTCATGGTTTGTGGCTTCACAGTCCATTTGAGACTTGTATTTTTCACAACTGAGAATAAGGGAGAAAAAAAAACTATGAAAAACTGTTTCATCCAACACACTTCACCCCACTGGCCAGCTCTGCCTGCTGAAGCGATGGGGGCTCCTGGCACCGTTGATCAACCTGGAACCTGGAAAGAAGCGTGGCACCTACTTGATCTCCGACTGTCCACAGGGCTTCTTCCTAGAGAGGTTGAGAAGGTCTTTGCCATATTTCTCTTCAATTGATGCCCTGAGGGGAACAGAAGAGAGAGCTCTGAGTCCTTGTTGGGGCTGATTCTCAGTTAAAACACATGGCACTCCCCTTGAGGGCAAAACTACTCCTCTGATGGGAGAAGCTCAGATATAACACCATTCTCTAGATTCAAAACTCCCTCTACCTGACAGGAAGAATTGTGAGAAGACCAGCAGCCTTCAACTCTAAGTCACCAGTATGGGCATCATGGCAAAACTAAATATGGCCCCCTGACCAGCACAGGCTAACACATTACAGACTGACTATTCAAAACTATGACCCAAGGATTTATTTACCAAAAAAAAAAATATATATATATATATATAAAATATATATGTATATATATACATATACATATATAAACATATGTATATGTGTGTGTGTGTATATATATGTATATATATACACACACACATAGAGTAAGAGATATTTCCATTAAATGCTACACTCCTGAGGCCCACCCCTCCTCCCATGTTTTCAAAGAGTGTCCTCTTTACCATCCTATATGGAGTGCCTCATTCATGGTCAATTCAAATACAAGAGGGAAATTTCAGAATATAAACTCTGCAGTTGGCAAGTTTCACAAAAACAACTGACTGTGCCTGGGTATAGCATGGTCTGTCTAAAGCACCAAGCATCCCCATTCCCCACCACTATGATGTCCCAGGTATGGTAGCAGGTATACTGTGGCCCAGTTTTCCCAGGTGTGATGCCAGACCTATCCTTTCTTAGCTGTCTGACCTTAGGCAAGTTTTATAACTTTGCTGAACCTCAGTTTCTTCAACTGTAAAATAAGGATGATAAAACTCCTCCACAGGGTTATTAGGAGAACTAATGAGATAATATGTACAAAATATATGGAAGCTTACATGGGTATCCGGCAAGCCTTCAATAATTGGCAGCTATTAATATAATCTCATTTAATCGCCCCTTAGCTACTGACTGCAAGATGATCATCCTCATTTTTCTAGTCCTCGTTTCCTGCTCCTATCGGTAGCTCAGTATGTCAGCTGGCCCAACCTGGGGTTCAAGGGATGAGAGAGCCCATGGGCTTGAGGTACCAGTGACAAAACAGGTTCATTTCATTATTAACCAGTAGAAGACCTCAGACTGGAATGTTCTGTAGAATTCTTCCGAAAGGGAAGAAGGGGGGAGGGAGGAAAAGGGGAGAGAAAGAGGGGAGGGGAAAAGGGGATGAGTGGGGAGGGGGGGAGGAAGAGGGGAGGGAGGGGGAGGAGAGGGGTGGGAATTTGACCTGGACTTTGAAGGATGGAGAGAACATCCGGGTGACGAAATGATGGAGTAAAGATGTCGAGGCGGAGACCCTGAAAGCATACTAATAAACTCTGGTGGGAACAGAGAGAGTAGGTGTACTGAGTGAGAATTATGAAATAGAAAGTAAAGGGTGGGAAAGAACACCTGTGTGCAAGGGCCAAGCATATCCTCCCAGAAAGTTTCATCCCTTGCCCTTCTGGCCAGCACTGATAAGTCACAAACACAGGGTCTGTGTCTGTGATGCCTCTGGAGCTGTCACTTTCTAGATTCCTAAGGTAAGTTAATCATTCAACTTCATTCAAAAAAGTACTCTTCCAGGGTGCCCGGGTGGCTCAGTCAGTTAAGCACCCCCTCTTGGTTTTGGCTCAGGTCGTGATTGCAGGATGGTGAGGTTGAGCCCTGTGTCAGGCTGCACACTCAGCTGGGAATCTGCTTGAGAGTCTCTCTCCGTCTCCCTCTGCCCTTCCCCATGCTTGCACGCGCGCGCGCTCTCTCTCTCTCTCAAATAAAATAAATAAAAACATTTTAAAAACTGCTCTTCCATGCAAAGAAAACATAAATAACACCTCATGCAGTCAACGTGAGTCAAAGAGAAATTTTTGAAGGGATGCTGAACTCCAATGCTATGTTGACAGAGATGCTGCAACAAAGATGGTGGCACGAGGCAAGTGCTCCATATACAATTAGCATTTAGCTGCTCAGATGTTCCTGGTGACTGGCATCATCATGCCTTTCCAGCTGACAGAAGGGTAAACTAGGTGAATTTTCAACTTACTGAAGGATGGTTACTGTTTTGTTATTTACTTGTGTTACAGTGAGTCATCCAGGACTTACTGGGGACCAATCATTGGAGAGCACATACTGAGCCAGAGCCCGGGCTCCAGCCAGACAGATACGAGAAAGACAGCATTCCAGAGCAGCATGGGACACTACGTTTGTGCGTGGTTAGCCACCTAATCACAAAATATTTACAAATTTATGAAATTTTATAAATGTTTGTGTATTGTATCTAGTGAACTCAAAACAGTAATATATGACAGACCGCTGTTACCTTTGCCCTTGTGTTTGCAGGTTTTGCCCCCAGCCTGTCCAAACCCCAAATAGGCCAGGGTGCTGCCTGGAATTTATAGCAGCTCAGAGAAATAATGTTCAAGACCCAAGGAGAACGGGTCAGCAATATGAGACCCTGGTCCAGACTCAGCAGACCAGGTCCCAGACACCATGCTCAGGAAAGGCTAGGCTCCCAAAACCTGATGAGGGCTGTGCTCCTTCATGGGAGTCATCTCTGCATGGGACACAGGGGAGGAGTGCGTGCTCCCTTCATGACAGCAGCCTCCTCCGAGCAGAAAGGAAGCCCAGAGACCAGGCAGGCCACCGGATCCAGGGCCTCGGACCCCCACACCCAGGGCATGTGTGTCTGACACTCTGACCTCATGCAGCAGATTCTTCCCCAAAATCGGACAACATGGGACTGGTTTCTTTTGCTATAAAACTCCTGGAGTGGGATCCCTGGGTGGCTCAGTGGTTGGGTGCCTGCCTTCAGCTCAGGTCGTGATCCCAGGATCCGGGATTGAGTCCCACATCGGGGTCCCTGCGGGGAGCCTGCTTCTCCCTCTGCCCATGTCTCTGCCTCTCTCTGTATGTCTATGTCTCTCATGAATAAATAAATAAATATTAACAGTAAAATAAAACTCCTGGAGAAAAGTGACCATATACTAAAAACATAAGTATTTAATAATTTGGGGGTGGCTGGGTGGCTCAGTTTTCGGCGGGGTGTCTGCTTCTCCCTTTCCCTCTGCCTCTCCCCCTGCTTATGCTCGCTCTCTCTCTCTCTCTCTCTCTCAAATAAATAAATAAAATCTTTTAAAAATATATTTAATAATTTTTAATTTCCATATATTTTCCTTTATTGACTCGTCTTCCATGATCTCCCCCTCCCGTGAGGTCGTCAGTGTTCTGCATATCACCCCACTTCACATTTTACTCTATTTCATTTGCCGTTTCATTTATAAACCTCATCTCTCAAGCTCATTCCTAAGGCCTTTAGGACACACCTACCATTTACACCGTGGGTATCATTCCATAACCCAGAGCAGAGGGCCTATGAACCCCGAAAAAGAAACAGAAAGTTGTAAATTGTTCCTGTGGGTGGGAGTGTTTCGGCTTCCCCTCCACCTTCGAGGAAGGACAGCAAGTACCTTTCTTTTAAAAAGTCTTCAAACTCTTTGCAGTTCTTGCGGCCATTGTTCAGGTGCTGGATGATGCAGTCGTAGCCCGCGGTGCTGAGGATGTCCGAGCTCTGGGGACAGAGGACATGGTGTCAGAGCAGAGGCAGCGATGACCACCCCGAGCCTGAAGGGGGCACAGGGCAGAGCACAGGGGGAAGCCGGAACTGGGAAGTTTCTGAAGTGCTTCACCAACCAGACAGTTGTGACCAAAGAGAACAAAATAGAAGAAGTCAGAGTGCATGCGGCCATGGGAAAATTGTCAAAGTTATGAAATGGGAGGGCCATGAAACAGGAAGTAACAGGACATGGAGAGTACATGGATGAGGGAGCTGGCCAGGCCCCGTCCCGCTGTGGGCCCCCCAACCCTGGGTATGGGGTCAGACCAGGGCAGGGTGCAGGAACTCCCACTTCATGGAGGCCTCCTCCCAACACAGGGCCGCCCTAACCAGGGCGACACGGTTTTCCCTCTGTCCTTAGATTTGCCACAGAGCTGGACACCGACGCCTCTTCCCACAGCCAACAAGCCTGGTCTGAGGATCGAGGGTGGAGGGTATCCCTGTAAAGGGCAGGCAGCTCTGAGCCAGAAGCCAGGCCCCAGGAGTGGAAAGGAGGATCGCTTCCCACTAGGAAACACAAAGGGGAACCAGTGTGATCCATCACATGGTCGCTGGTTGACCCCAATTTGGGGGGAAAGGGGAGCAGAAGGAGAATAGGATTTTTTTTTCATTTTAAATTAGCAATTTATACTTATTTTATCCTACTGTGCTGCTCTGAGGTTGTAGGAAGCGATCTAAGTCCCACAAGCAGTTGCCCCAGAGGCAGTACATTTTTTAAATCAAAGTCCCTCCACTCCTCAAACCGACAAATCAGGGCCTAAAGAACATCCCCTAAAGTGTCCCCTAATGAGGCTGGTTCTGGGTTTCTACCTCCAAATGCATACAATAGGCTGCCTGTTTCAGACTCCAGTTCCTTAAGGCAGTTGGTGAAGCTGCACTGGATTGTGCCCTGGGGAGCTCTGAACACACCCACCCCCAGCCCAGCCCAGGCCACCACCCCTTCCCAGCCCCCAGCCAGCTCAGGGAGGTACCACCTTGCTGTTGGGGGGTCCTGGGAGACTCTTGAAGACACCTCTCTACTCAGCCCTGGGCATGGGAGAAACAGAATTTCTCTCTTCCTTTTGCTGCCACTTGCGTGGCCTGGCCTCCAAGACAGGGTCCCAGAGAGATCCAGCAGGACCAAGGCTCAAAGCTGATTTCAACACGGCATTTAGAAACCTAACTGGCTGTAACTCACACTGCATTTTTAAAGATGGATTATTATCGGCATAGTCAATTTTACACACGGGCACATAATTCAATCTAAGTAAGAAATACCTCTAATTCTATGAGTTCTGGTTGTTGCCCCAGCACAGATTTAGGTCTCAAGAAGCCTAAAGAAACAGCCACCAAAGCTTCATTTCTCTTCTGTCTCAGCCAGGTTGGCTTCTGTCACCTGCAATGCAACGCTCAGCAGCAACCCTAAGATAGTATTTACATTATCCCCTCCTGAATCCAAATTCAGTCCCTCGGCCCCTGAGTATTCTGGAAGCCTCCTCTGAGTAGCCCTGATACCCCTGCCCTGGCCTCTCGGAGCACCCAGCTTCTGAATTTGCTGTTTGGAATCCACCACATGTGAAACTTTGCTGTCCCAATGTTACGGCAAGTTCCTGCAGCTTCTTCCAAGTCTTGGGCCACACTTGCACACACATTCACATACAACCAAAACATCTAGCTTCATATGATGCACCCCAAAGGTTTACAGTAAAATTCTGCAGGGTGAAAATACCTCTTGTGTTCCACCCAGACACATCCAAGGAGAAGCAAAAAAAACAGACTCCAGGGGCCCCTGGGTGGCCTAGTGGTTGAGTGTCTGCCTTTGGCTCAGATCGTGATCCCGGGATCCTGGGATCAAGTCCTGCATTAGGCTCCCTGCGTGGAGCCTGCTTCTCTCTCTGCCTGTGTCGCTGCCTCTCTCTGTGTCTCTCATAAATAAATAAATAAATAAATAAATAAATAAATAAATAAATAAATAAATAAATAAATAAAATCTTTTTTTTAAAAAAGCCACTTCAAAAAAAAAATAAAAAATAAAAATAAAAAGCCACTTCATAAAAAGACACTTCCTAGGGGTACCTGGATGGCTCTGTCGGTTGAGCGTCTGACTCTTGGTTTCAGCTCAGGTCATGATCTCAGGGTTGTGGGATGGAGGCTCGTATGGGGCTCCGTGCTCAGTGGGAGTCTACTTGAGATTCTCACCCTCTCCCTTTGGCTTCCCCCCACTCACTCTCTGACTCTAAAATAAATAAATAAAGCTTAAAAAAAAAGACACTTCATAAAAGATATTCTATTGGCCAAAATGTTCATGAAAAATTCCTTATGGGCAGCCCAGGTCGCTCAGCAGTTTAGCACTGCCTTCAGCCCAGGGCGTGATCCTGGAGACCTGGGATCGAGTCCCACGTTGGGCTCCCTGCATGGCATCTGCTTCTACCTCTGCCTGTGTCCCTGCTTCTCTCTCTCTCTCTCTCTATGTCTCTCATGAATAAATAAATAAAATCTTTAAAAAAAAAAAAAAGAAAGAAAAACTGCTTACCTTCTAGGGAAATTCAAATTAAAGTCACAGTAATATTGACTCCGTGCCCACTAGAACAGCTAAAATTAAAAGGTCAGCATTTGAATGTAGGCAGGAATGCTGAACTACCAGAACTCTCATGCATTGCTGATTGGAGTAGAAAAATGGTACATTTTGAAAAATGGCGATTTCTCAAGAAGATAAACATACACATACCCTATGAGCCAGAGTTCCACCCTTAAGTGTTTACCCAAGTGAAATGAAAACGTATGTCCACAAAATGACTTGCACGAGAATGTTTACATAAAGTTCATAGGAGTGAACAGGAGAATGTTCACAGGAGTGTTAGACACAATGACTCAAAACTATATACAACCCAAATGTCTAACAACTGATGAATGGTAAACAATTTGTGGTATGTTCATACAGTGGGATACTATTCAGCAATAAAAAGACAGAACTACTGACTCATGAAAACCCATGGATGGATCTCAAAGACACTATGCCAGTGGAAAATGCCAGATACAAAAAGTATTCGCTGTGCAGTCTCATTCACATGGCATTTTAGGACAGGCAGGCAGTCCTAGGACTTATTTCTATGGGAAAATAAATAACAGTGACTACCTGAGCCAGGAGAGAAACTGAGGGTGGAGTGGGAAGGGCCCTTCAGGGAACCCATGTGACCCGCATTCCTATCAAGATCTTCCTAGAGAGATGTGGGTTGTACAGGTGTATGCAGTTTTCAAAACTCACTGACCTGAGCATTTTCTTATGTAGATTACTCCTCAATAAAATCAAAAGGCCAAAAAAAAAAAAAGGATAAGGATTCAGAGGGAGAATGGGTGGGAGATAGTCAGTAGAAGGAATACTGACTAAGCCCTGGAAGTGGACCTAGCCTTGAAGTCCCGGCTGAGGCAGGGGGACAATAAAGAAGGGAGAGTAGATCCAAGCACCCAACAAACCTCCTCAAAACCCAGAACGTAAGGCTTCATAATGCTCAAATTATAAAGAGGTAAACACCATTCAAGTTCCACCCAATGGGTTAGTACTTTAACCACAGAAGCCCTTCAATTTTTTTAAGACAAAAAATTTGTCAGATCCAGCAGTGAGCACACGTATGCCACATCAGCAGGCATGAGAACCAAAGAACAGTAATAACAGTCTGGTTGGCCTGCCTGTGGGCTGCCTGGTGGAGGGTAACTCCACTGTCCACAGCCCCCCAGCCCAGATCTAACACTCTGGTCTGCTTTCACTCACTCAGTCCAGGCACATGCAGGACTCCTTCCCACCCAGAGCTGAGCCCTGGGCTGCAGGGGCCTCTGAGAACTTATTTCCAGGCTCCTTTTCCATCATGTGGCTTCCATACATGAGACCTAATTATTAATATTAATTCACAATAATCCATATGGGCTGATAAGGTGAGCTGGAACCATGTGGGTAAAAGAGATGGAAAGGCATGAAGGCAGAGGGGAAGCAAAGAGCACCTGCGGCCTCCGATGCGAACATCTGAGTGACAGGTGCTGCGCCAGAGCGTCCCCACGTCTGGCTGTGTGTGGCACCCCCTCACCACCCTCTCGGGTGTCTGTCTCACACAGTTTCTCCAGGTGGGGCTCCCAGGACCACCCGCACCAGAACCTGCCAGGCAGCCCCCACCACCACCACCCCCGGGTCCCACCCAGACCTCCTGGTCCTGAGCTCAATGCTGTTTGAGAACTGCCGCACAGAAATGACAAAAGACAAATGAGCCACAAGGGTCCTGCGCAGAGGAGCTGAACATGGAGAAAAGCAGGACCTGCCCGGGAAGCTAGAGACCTGGCAGCCTGGGGTGGCAGGACCAAGGCTGCGGAACCAGCGCGGAGAGAGGGCAGGAAAATACTCCGCGCTTCATTTTGAAACCTCCCATTTTGAGTAAAAGATGCAAATTGGCATTGACGCCTCCTAGGAGCCAGAGTCCGCGAATGGGGCGGGGGTGCCGACTTGGCCTTCAGTACAAGAGCTGCCCTTGGTCCCCGACCTGGGCATAGACGCACACGGGCTGCTCTTTGCAGGACAGGGTCACAGCCCGGTTGGTAAAACGGAGCTAGTTTCCCGTTTTACAGCTGGAGAGAATAAGACACTAGGAAGTGAGAGTCTCCTTATCACTGCCTCCAACCACAATGCAAGATTTTAACCCTTAACCCACAATAATATCCAAATCTCTCTCACTCATTAAGAGCTGTCCCGCCACAGCAGATTCAGGATAAAGACCAAGGTTTTCCTCCTACCTCCCTGTGCTCTCAACCTGGACCTTGCTTTACTACTCACCTTCCCATCTCTTTTACCCAAAGAGGTAAAACCAAATGATTCCAGCTCACCTCATCAGCTAATACGGATTAATTATTGTGAATTAATATCAATAATTAGGTCTAATATACATTGAATTCTGGCTGCATTCCAAATAGCAAATGACTATTATGTGTGGAAT